TAAGAATCGAAGCCCAGTTCCGCTCATTGGCTCGATCGCTTCGCGCCAGCTGAGCTCGCCTCTCATTGGTCACTGTTTTTCGTTGATAACTCGTTAACGGTGCCTCGGAGAAAATTGTTCTAAAGGAAAAAGTTGCTTCAAATGGAAGCAAAAAATGCGACAAATGGAAAAATTTGTCCATTTTTCTGGACAATCTGAGCGTCAATTAGAGAGACATTACTGTACCGAGACTTCTTAAAATGACGCCAAACCCGTAACCGTATTAAATCGAAGTTTCTTCGATACTTGCCGAAAGTATCGATACCCGTTCGATACTTCACGGAACGAATTTGAAGCTAACGAAATTGTAATTGCCTGCTTAATACCGTACGATATTAAATGTATATTTAATATCGAACGGTATTAAGCATGTAATTCTCTTCATCGAATTATCGTAATAAACGGAGTTACGTTTTCTTAATTAAACGTAACGGTTGTAAAAATGGTTACCATAAAAGGAACTCCTATTGATTTTATTGATCCCCATATCCTTGCGCGTTGCATTTGTATTAATACTTTCTTTCCGTGTAAATTGATACTTTCGTAAAAGTATACACAAACGCACACACATAAACACATATATGTATGTATATTCCGGTAAAAGTATCAGTCGGGTATCGATATTTTCGACTAAGTATTAGGTCTACCGGAAAGTTCTGTCCGTTTTTGAATTGAGATATAAAACAATTTTCACACATTTAATAATATTTATTGTAGAATATACTTTCCATCGTTACTTATGACTTCTTGCCAGCGTGATGGCAACTTGTAAATGCCATTTTTACAAAATGATTTATTTTTAGAGGCGAAGAACTCGACTAGTGCTTGGTTGACGTCAGCTTCAGTTTTGAATTTTTTTCCTGTAAAAAGTTTTGCAAAGAGAGAAACAAGTGATAATCGGAGGGTGCTAGGTCTGGGGAGTATGGTGGATGCGACAGAATTTCCCAGCCTAGCACTGCGATTTTCTGACGAGTCGCCGAAGCAGCATGTGATCTGGCATTATCATCGGTAGCCATGTTTTCACGATCGCGTCTCACTTAACAATGACACGAGACATCTTTGTTTCAGTTTATTTAGGAGACTACATGCGTGTAAATGCAACGATAAAGAGAGACAGCCATATATGTCTCAAATCAACATGTGCATATGGATTGAAACTTGAAGTGACACTATCTGACAGAACTTTCCGGTAGACCTAATATTTAAGATATCGATTCCGTTCGACACTGTCTTCGAGACAATTCGGTATTGGATCGAGATTAGTCGGCCGGTATCGATGCGACATTGATTAATGTATTATTACCGTGTTGAACAAGAAAGCACCGTGTACCGAAGCATCCGAAGGTGCACCCCGACGATTGGCCGAGTCAAAATGAGCCGGTGTCGTCGGCTCCGCGTCCCTCGGAGATGGTTTAACCGCGCTGCGGGTCGAAAGAGCCCGGCCAACGGATTACAGCCGTAACGCAGGTGTATGGCGGGCCCGGACATTTCTAAATGGGCTTTAAACCGGCTTAATAGATCCTCTTAAGGAGACTCGGCCGGATCACCGCGTTCCCACCGATGACTTCGCCGATGAAAACTGGCCCGAAGGGTCGCGTGGCGCACGCGTGCTTCACAGAAGAGTATTGCGTGCCGGTTTTTATGAGCGGCCGTCGGCGTAGTCGCGCATCTTTCATGCACGCATCGATGCCCTTCGACGCTAAATGCTCCTCGAGAGGTTGTTCACTTTCGAAACGCATCGGCCGGGGCTGCTTCTCGTCGCCGGGCTCCTCCTCGGCCCCGGAGGAGAACCAGAGACTCGCAGGTGGTCTTGTTCTTATTCGTACGGGCGCTGCCACTCGGTGATACCGAGCGCTTTCACTTCACCTCGGCCTGGAACTCCTGAAATATCGTATTTTATCCGGCCGCGATCGGTTTCTTCGTGTAAATGATACGAAAATCGTGTACCTCGGCCTCTACGGCACACGGGCTGCGTGCGCGCCCATCGCAAGATGCGTTTCACTCGGGCGTGTGCGCGCTCTCCCGACCACTACCACGGTATTATTTGCACTTGATCTTGAAACGGAGCCACGCCGGGATTAGGCGAGGCTATTTTCACCGGGAAACGTTCGAAATTCTACCTGTATTCGGGAAGTATAGTCATTTCTTCTGGAAATGGTAGGAGGGCGGAATTGAAACCGGCAGATCTGAGAATACTGTGACGCGATTTTTCGTGTCTCGCGGCTCGTTTTTATAGAAATTAGGGACAGTCGGCGATAAAGCCAGCGGCCAGCATGCCGATGCACATTAGTATGAATGCATGGTGATGCTAGAATAACAAGGATGACTTGACTTTTTTATTTTCAATTTTTTTGCCACAATTCGATGGCAATTCGGTCATTTGACACGATTCGAAGGCAATTCGCAGGACAAATGCCACGATTCGAAGGGAATTCGGAGGCAATTCGGAGACAATTCGAAAGCAATTCGAAGGCAATTCGAAGGTAATTCGAAAGCAATTCGAAGGCAATTCAAAAGCAATTCGAAGGCAATTCGAAAACAATTCGAAGATAATTCGAAAGCAATTCGAAGACAATTCGAAGGTAATTCGAAAGCAATTCGAAAGTAATTCGAAGGCGACATGCTATGATTCGAAGGCAATTCGAAGGCGACATGCTATGATTCGAAGGCAATTCGAAGGCATTTCGAAAGCAATTCGAAAGCAATTCGAAGACAATTTAAAGGCCACGTGACACGATTCGACGGAAAATCGGAAGCCACATGACACGATTCAACGGTCACGTACCTAGTACAGTAATTTCTCCCTAATTCGCGCGCAGATCGCGCACAAGAATGGACAATTCGGGAAGAGGAGATACGATTATTCGAGCCTTGCGTCTCGTTTTTACAGTCGTTTACAATCGATAACTCTAAAAACGAGCTGCAAGGCTCGAATAACCGTATCTCCTCTTCCCAAATTATCCATTTTTGAAGCCACATGACACGATTCAACGGTCACGTACCTAGTACAGTAATTTCTCCCTAATTCGCGCGCAGATCGCGCACAAGAATGGACAATTCGGGAAGAGGAGATACGATTATTCGAGCCTTGCGTCTCGTTTTTACAGTCGTTTACAATCGATAACTCTAAAAACGAGCTGCAAGGCTCGAATAACCGTATCTCCTCTTCCCAAATTATCCATTTTTATGCACAATTTGAGCGCAAATTCGGGAGAATTTACTACACCCACCACGTACCTTATAACTCCGCGACTTTTCTTAGCTGATTCACACCCTAACAGATCATTTTATGTTAACTTCCTGGAATTTGCATCGCGTGCCGGATCGCAGGCTTTGCATCGCGGATCGACCCTTACTATCGACGAAGCAATAAATCACATAGGCGTAGGACTAGCACAGGGAAATTCACAGCGTCTCGAAATTTGGCATTTTCGGGAGAAATTACTCTATCTCTCCTACCATGTCATAAAGTTTTCTTTAGAATTTTCCTTTCGACAATAGAGTGCATCCTTGGACTATTTCTGCAGCGTAAAAAACAGCCTGTGAACTGCGATAATTCATTCCAAAGAGGACAATGAAAGATCCCTTCGATTCTGTCTGCAGAAATCTTACACGCGACATTGTTCCTCGATCTATTCTTTCTAGCAAATCTAAAATCTTTGTTGAATTATTTTGAGACGATAAAGTGGATCGAAGAGCGAATAAAAAACAATCACGAGAATTTGTTTCAATATTTGCTCGTAGAAATTCCGCACAGGACATTGCTCCTTCGCGAAGTGCTTTCTATTAAGTCAAAGAAGTTTAAAGAATTATTCACAGGCACAGATGCATGGATAAATTTCCTATCATAAAAGCCGGTCCATGATCTATGTTCATATTATTCATGACAATAGTACGATTACCAGGGCTGTAAGATCATGTTCGAAGCCACTTTTTACCGTCGAAATGTCATTGCTGTTGGATCGAGAAACCGACAGAAATAACAGGATAGAAAATCGATACTTTTTTCCGTCCGCAAATTGGCTCCGTCCGATGGGCAAGTCCGATAAGCATCTTATCGGAGCCCCGCTGCTCCCAATCACTGAAACCTTGAAAACAGGCGGCCTGAACGACGAAAGTACGAAACGGAAACAGAATTACCGGAGAACTTTCGAGGTGATCCTGGAATACGTGACAGGATGTGAGCGACACTTCCTCTTAAGCCCTATAATAATACGTCGATCTGTTACACCTGTCTTCCTTTCCGCTAAATACGCGCCGTAATGACTAATATGCAGGACCAGCACCGTTAAACAACAACAACAACAACAACAGTAATAATAATAATCATAATTATTCTGCCGAGCATCTCAACAGCTGGCGTTCCCTTCCCGCGTGGATTATGTTAATCGAGAACCTAACAGTATTTTCATTTTATTTAAAGAAAAATTTTATTTTAAAAAGAAACAGTGACCAATGAGAGACGAGATCAGCTGTCGCGAAGCGAACATGCGTTCGTTTCGTTAATAACTCGCAAACGAAGCCGCGAATTGCATTTTTTCCAAGGAAAAAGTTACTTCAAATGACCTCAGAAACCTCACATTTCTCGTTTTTACAATAATTTTGCGACACACTGTGCGCGCTGGCTTGAAAAACGAACTTGAGACAGATGATACGCGATCGGGGAAAGCTAATGAAATGTCCAAAAATGCCTTCGCGATTTTCGAATTAGAATTTCGGGTACCCTGACACGACCGAAAAAAATTTGTACAAAAATATCACAGACGAAGGCAGTGTTTCCCCGAGAATAATGCAAATGCTACGATCGACACATTAATTATGAAATCGTGAGAGCCGGCGGGGCACGGCGCAGCAACTTTTCAATTTTTTGGCGTCGTTGAACGGCGCCGGACCAGTTAGCCCGATCGTTTAATGACAGGTTTGCGAGCACGCGTGACGCCCGTAATTTCTCTCTGTTGCAGTGGTGATGCACAAAGACAAAGAGGAGAACTCGCACCACGACACTCACTACAGGGCGAGGGAGTTGGCCGCGTTCGCAGCTTACGATCATCATCATCTCGACGGCGAAATGTTCCTTCAGGTGAGTGGCTCGGGGGCGATCAATCATCGGGAGTTACTCTGGAAGCGCGAAAACGCTAGCCCCGAAGTGTTGTGCATACGTTCCGGCTTGTTCGCGAAACGAAATCCGCGCGAAGAAAACGCTGCAACGAAGACCGCGCCGCGCCGCGCCGCGCTGCAACGCGCCGGGCCGAGCCGGGGAAATCATTAACCTCTCGTCATCAGCGTCTCGTTCATCATTTAAGGGCTGCAACACGGTTGCCCGCGGAATAATCGGTTACGTCACTCTCGGCCGAGCCCGAAACGGAATTAGAGCGCGTTTTTATCGGTGTGTCCGTTCATCTAACGACTCCGTACACTTGCTCGTTCGTGGCCCGTGATGGATCGATGGCCGAACAAGTGGGTGGCAGCACGGATGGGAGATGAATGAACCGGAAGCTCGGAGGACCATCTACCGAATGTTGCGAGATAAAGATTGTCTCTATTAATTGTAACGAGCTGGATGGATATATCTATTTCTTTTTTCTAATTATTTTGACGACTTGAGCATAATGCGATAGAACCTTTAATCTTTTGAAAAGAAAATTGTCCGCATTAATTGTAAGATACAGGGGCTAGATGGATATCTATTTCTTTTTCTAATTATTTTGACGACTTGAGTATAACACGATAGGACTTTTAATCTCTTGAAATACTTGTCACCTTCTGCATTCGATTATTTTTGTGAGAAGTGCATTAAATTCGTAGCTTATCGATAAGTGTATTTCGAGGATCAATCTTTTCGAACCAATTTCGAATGACTTCAGATTAGAGATCATGGTTTTGAACGTGTATTGTACATACGCGTGTCTCCGTGTACACGTGTACTAATTTTTTTATTTATGATTATTCATATAAAGATATATTTCTGAGTTATTTATTCAATCTGGATGTTACTTACCGCAAATGTTACAATAACACCTGTTCAAAATCAGAATAAATGCCTTATTGTTACTTTTATCAACTAATATGAAACAGCTGTTTTTTTATATATTCTGTTTCACGTGTACTTCAGTACAGATGTACACGTGTACTGCTAATATTTTTTATTTTGCGCGATTATTTCATGTAAAATAAAATACCTGCATTTTCAAGTATTTATTTTTATAATTATAATAATCTACTATTTATTGAAAGTCTTTATTTTCTGAATAATTTGGGAAAAATATTCTTTTCCCGAGATCAATTGACACGATAACAAAAATATTTAATTATTCGTTGAAATATGCCGGTACACGTGCACCGAAATACACGTACATCAAAATACACGTGTACGCATGTACACATATACACACGTACACATTAAAACCGACACGGATCAAAACACTTACACATTAATAACACAAAAATGAGAACACGAAAATGAGATACACATGAAATAGAGACCTCTGCGCCGTACGTCTCGCTTGCAACCGAACCCTCGACACAGCGAGAAGGTGTCCGCCATTAATCTCGAGTACGAAAATTCGTACATTCTTTTGCTACACCTTCTCAGCCATTGTTGCCGGTGACAAATAGGAAGAATCGAAGGGGAGGCTCCGAAGGTCCTGCTAGCAACCCCAATTCGCTGAGCGGTGAACCGGCGATCCTCCGAATCGGCAATTTGCCGGGGAAACGAGATCCAGCGGAGAAGAAAGAGAGGCAGGCCCCTTCTCCCGAGGGGGGGAGGGGGAGGGCATAATCGAGGAACGGGTCGAAATTAAATCATCGCTCGCGAGAGGAAGAGACAGGAAGAGTCGAAGGAGAGCGAGCGGGGAGAGATATCCGGCTGATGAACCGGCTATGAAACCGAGGCGTACGAGGTGTCTATTCCTCCAAAGTATGGAAGGGTATATACACGGATTAATGGCGGTGTATCATGCGAGGCTATTACGTTCCCTTTCCTGCGTTTTAGCCGCGCGCACACCGGCGAAACGGACCGAGGCGCGAGGGTGAGACCCCGATCGGCGCTGAGGGGAGGGAAGGGTTTCTCTTGCCAACGTCGGGATCGGGATCGGGATCGAGAACGGTGCGCGGGGGGGTTCTCGTATCGAGAAGGGGGAGGACAAGCGATACGAAACGGCGTCCGCAATTTCATGCGATCGAACGATTCCTGCCAGCATCTGTAACGGCCGGTTATTAATTGCCCGCTCGTTAATTGCGTTACGTAGCTCGTGCCGCGAGCTGATTCCCGGATGGGACTATCTCCGACAGCGTTCGCGGTCGCCATTTCGCTGCGCGCCGCGGAACTCTCTCGATCCCTTTTTCACGATACTTCGTTTCTTTTCTTTTTCTTCGTTTTTTTCCTTCTTCTCTTCTCCTTTTTTCTTTCATTAAAATCCACAACTGTCTCGTTTCATTGGAAATCTTGGCTTTTCGGGAAATACGCGACTCCTCCTGTTTCGGTTATAAAAGGCTCGGTAAAAATCGCGAAATTAATTAGTTTCGTGCGAGGCAGCAATATATAGTCGGTTTTCATACATCGTGATTTTAATTGCTCCGGTAACCTTGCCTTTTTGGTTCCGGAGTAATTGGAATCGATGTATGTACTGCTAACAGCAGTTTGTACAATTCCTGTGCGACCGTAACTTCGCTACGAAACGCGGCCGATGCCGGTCGAATAACCTTCTTTTTTACCCCATGATTTGTCTAAAAGCTACGCTCATTTGAACTTCTGTATCGTAAACAATTTCCTGTCTAGATAAAGAAAATGTATGTTCGACGGTTGGCCGCTCACGCGAAGCTCTATGATGGGGTCCTTACGTATACAAACATTTCCAACTGAACATTTTGTTCTTACTATCGTCGTTGTTGTTATTGCTATTGTTATTGCTAATATTATTACTATTATCTTATCGTACTTCACTTTTAAACGAACGGCAGACGACATCACGTGTCAAACGGTCAAGTCGGGCCTCGAGCTCTGGGTCCGAAGGGACCCGGACGTTGTGCGGCGAGAGTTAATCTGTTAATTAACATCTTGCTATACTATTGTTTAGATTCGTTACTTCGGAGTCATCTTTTAATGCAACACAGATGAGCTTCTCTCGATGCGCTCGGATTTGTAGTTTACTTATTCACGTATGAAACGGTCTGTGCTTTTATAGACGTTTCTTCGGGGTTGAAAGCTTGAAAACCTCCGTGGTCTTGTACCGTAAAGAAACATTGAGAAATCTTTAACTGACACGGTACAAGAACACAGATTGACAAAGATTTCTCAATTTTTCTTCGTGGTACGAGACCGCGGGGATTTTTATAAACTTTCAACCCCGAAGAAACGTCTATGAAAGCGAAGACCATTTCATACGTGAATAAGTAAACTATAAATCCGATCGCATCGAGAGAAGCTCGTCTGTGCTGCATCAACCCTTTGTTTTACGATTTAATTTCCAATAGCGCGTGCCATAAACGACAACAAGGTCGGTCACACGTCGGACCATTCACGGTTTGGCTGAGCGTTCGAAGTTGTGCGAATCGCAGACGTCTTATGATTTTTATATACATGTGTACGGTGCAATTAACTTTGCGTTGCAAGATGTCCGATAAATAATTACGATCGATTGATCAACGAACAAGAAAGATTTACTGTTCCAAATTATTGATAATATTATTAATGACATTTTTATTTTAATTTATGAATAAACAGATAGTTATGAATATCATCGTCTTAATAAAATTGACAAAAATTTAATAATCTTCGATCGTATGTATGATATTCTTCGTCTGTTATTTTCAGAGCTCATTACTTGTTCCGCGTATCGATTCGTCTCCGTTACATTATTCTCCAAAAATACGCTATTAAATATTATATTAAAAGCGTCTGTTTCCTTTTTGCTTGTATTCAAGTGATCTAAAGTTGCCTCTTTTATTCGCGGAAGCTCCAGTATACTTCCAGATTTTCGGTTGATCATCTCTTTCCTTCCAAATCCACAACTCTGATTGTTGATAATAATCTTCATCATCGGTATCATCTTCAATCACCAATTGCTTATAACGTTTTCGTAAAATAAGTAAAAAGTCGCTATCACTGTCNCTCGATGCGCTCGGATTTGTAGTTTACTTATTCACGTATGAAACGGTCTGTGCTTTTATAGACGTTTCTTCGGGGTTGAAAGCTTGAAAACCTCCGTGGTCTTGTACCGTAAAGAAACATTGAGAAATCTTTAACTGACACGGTACAAGAACACAGATTGACAAAGATTTCTCAATTTTTCTTCGTGGTACGAGACCGCGGGGATTTTTATAAACTTTCAACCCCGAAGAAACGTCTATGAAAGCGAAGACCATTTCATACGTGAATAAGTAAACTATAAATCCGATCGCATCGAGAGAAGCTCGTCTGTGCTGCATCAACCCTTTGTTTTACGATTTAATTTCCAATAGCGCGTGCCATAAACGACAACAAGGTCGGTCACACGTCGGACCATTCACGGTTTGGCTGAGCGTTCGAAGTTGTGCGAATCGCAGACGTCTTATGATTTTTATATACATGTGTACGGTGCAATTAACTTTGCGTTGCAAGATGTCCGATAAATAATTACGATCGATTGATCAACGAACAAGAAAGATTTACTGTTCCAAATTATTGATAATATTATTAATGACATTTTTATTTTAATTTATGAATAAACAGATAGTTATGAATATCATCGTCTTAATAAAATTGACAAAAATTTAATAATCTTCGATCGTATGTATGATATTCTTCGTCTGTTATTTTCAGAGCTCATTACTTGTTCCGCGTATCGATTCGTCTCCGTTACATTATTCTCCAAAAATACGCTATTAAATATTATATTAAAAGCGTCTGTTTCCTTTTTGCTTGTATTCAAGTGATCTAAAGTTGCCTCTTTTATTCGCGGAAGCTCCAGTATACTTCCAGATTTTCGGTTGATCATCTCTTTCCTTCCAAATCCACAACTCTGATTGTTGATAATAATCTTCATCATCGGTATCATCTTCAATCACCAATTGCTTATAACGTTTTCGTAAAATAAGTAAAAA